ACACATTTCATTACACCAAATACACAAAATAATGTTCTTTTTAGCAACATCATATGACCCCTTTAAACTTGTTTTGGAAAGTTTTGCTTTTCATGTTTTTATTGAGATTCGTCATGTGCTTTGGTTTTGTGTTTGTGTGTGAATCATTATCAGGCCCACACGGAATCTGTGCCCACAAAAACTTTGTAGAATTCTTAAGTCCTTCATACATAAACACCCCTCGTTTGTTCATTTACAATAATGTTTCAGCTATCAATAGTGTAATACTTCCAGCTCATTTAACACTTTTACCTGGTTTAAAATGCACAGTTTCTCCCAAATTCAGATCAGAAAAAAATAAAAAACAGTCTACAGATTCCATCTGTATGGAAGCCCATTTTCACCACACAGGGGAAAAAAATAATCCACTGGTAAATTATATATATGGCATAAAAAGTCATAATTATGACATTAAATGTAATAATTATGAGGGAAAAAAAGTTTAAATTATGACATACCAAGCTGAATTTTTTTGTCATGAAGAATTTTAGTAATAATTATGACAACTCATAATTTAGACTTTTTTTTGGTCAGTTACGACTTAAAGGCACAATATGTACGATTTTTTAATTAAAATATCCAAAAACCACTAGAACAGTGTTATATATTTTGCTGACTTGTGTACTTACATTATCCCAGATGTTTCGAAGAATGTTTAAATCCAGAGAAATAAGCAATTTTAACTAGTGCCACGGACCGTGTCTGTAGTGTCATTGTGTCGCCTGCCAATGACGTCATAACCCCTCGATTTTGTTTTGTAGAAAACATGGAAACACCAAAGACGCTTTAATATGTTGTGCGTTTTATTAGACCGGTGACGACCGCACAGAGTAGCATTATAACAGAACTTTCAAATGTATCTAGTATGATAAAACAGCGCTGCTTTTTTTCCCCCACATTCGCACGACCGGAAGGAGCAGAAGCGGTCGACTGAGGCATAATAAAAACTCCGCTGCTTTCGAGCCGTGTGTCACGCTCGTTCAGCGGCCTCGTTTCGCTTCGACGGCTTTCAGCCTCACCCTGCTTTATTCTACTACGTTAATAAATCATTAATAAATCATTAGCTCATCCATGAACATGATTTCTGCCCGAGTCCCGTCAGATTGCATCGGCTGTGGGGATGAAGATGACAACTCCCATGATTCCACACTCAGTCACGGCGTCATCAAACTACGCCTTTTTCTATTTGTTTATTTTGAATATGCGCCCTCTAGCGGCGAAAATTACATATTGTGCCTTTAATATTTCATAAATTCGTCATAATTATTTCGAAATAAATTATTTTTGTCATAACTCATAATTTCAACTTTTTATGTCAATTACGACTTTGTATGTCATAAATTCAACTTTTTATTTTATAATTATGCCTCAGTGTATCAGTTTTCCAACTTTTCATGTCATAATTACGACTTTTTATCTCAGTTTTTACTTACATCATTTTGTCTTTATCTCAGCTACGGCTTATCTCCGTTACAACATGATTGTTTTCTTATTTGGTGGAAATCGGCTTCCATAAATTGGTCTTTATTGATGAACTTCAGTACACGAAATGGTGACGATGTGTTGTAATTCTGTCTCTCGCACACAGGAGGCGCTGTTGTCAGGGAGCTGGAACCGGCTTTACATTTCATTCTCGGGGAGGAGGGGGGATAAGCAGAAGAAAAGCAATGAATATATACATTTATAAATATAACTCTACTGGTCTGACCATTCTGCAATAACAGAAGAGGGATGGAGAAATAAAAATAAAGAGCAAAAAAAGGACAGAAGACATGAAGAATGTATGACACAAGAGAGTGGTAAGAAATGGGATGGTTGGAGGAATCGGATGACTGTTTATTCTTTCTTTCTGTCGTTCTCTCTTCTCACTTCCTGTGTCTGTGCTGATGGGACATCTGTAGATGAACTTTCTTGTCTTTCCATCCTTCGTTTCAATGGCACTGCCCACAGCCCTAGTTCCTCAGAATGGCTTTCGTTGACTGCCTGCAATTGGTCTCTCGAGTCTCTCGATAGCAAAGGATGTTTGTGGCAACTAAACCTGGACTTCAGGGATGTTTACATACGGTAAGGTTCAGAGGAAGTACTTAAGAGCACAGTCGAGGGGCCAGGCTGTGTGAGGCCAAGACTTCGCTGTATGTGTTTCTCAATCAGCACAAGCTGAGAAAGACCAGTGAGCAGTGAGAGCTACACGTGAGACGGCAGAGGGCACAATTCTTGCTCAATTACTACTAGGTGTTTTTCTTTTAATTTTCCAACATTTAGATTCAAGACTAAAGGTCAGCAGAGGGAGTCAGCAAATGAAGGGAAGCTGGTGGTGGCAGATAGACAGATGCGCGAGGGAAGATGCTTGCGGACAAAGCAAGTGACCAGCAGAAATGAGTCCTGATGGACAGAATAATTCTAACAACGCAAGCCATAAAAGATGACAAGAGGTGAACGGAGGAGGAGAAATGGGGGGAAGGGGTGGGGGGAGGGCCAGGGGAAAACAAGTGAGAGAAAATGTTTAGCTTCTGTGTTGCGATGCATGTCAAACAACCAAGATGACAACGAACTAAACTTTTCGGGGAATAAGACAATATGAAGTTAAAAATAAAAATTATGTGTACATTAACATATGAGGTTAAGAGCTTGGGGAACAATTTGTAAAATGTGTGTTTTCATTTTTATTTTTATTATAACTATTTATTTTCTTTATGTAAGTATTGAATAACTATGTACATGTTCATTTAATAATTCTGACTGTAATTTAATTTTATCTAGTTTAAAGCGTAAATATGAAATATGAAAAACATGGTAATTAAAATATGCTACTTGTATGTGTACATTTTGACAAAATTGTGCTATGATTTAAAAGCAAACCATTACTGTTGATGAGGATGACAGTGATTCAAATTGAAAATGATGTCTGCAAAATAAACAATAATGATAATCAAAATAAAATAAAGTGTTCCTAATGGTACTGAAGAGTTCAGCGTGCTCGTGATTTTGAGATGCTAATTTGTGTGCGAGGTGAGATTTGTTTGAATTCGACGACTGCAAATCAAAGTACTTCCTGTTTTTTTAATACAAAACAAATAGAACTACAATCATATATTCATATAATCCACTTTGTATTTTACCAAAGCACCTCTCGCTCTTCCATCTACTTTGAAAAAATAAATCATATACAAAAGTATCTACCTTACAAAGATTACATAACATTTTATTACAATGACTCAATGTGAAAAATGACATCAAACCCTGTGTACTGACTTCCACAGCTTTCTCAATACAGTAACCAGGAAACTGGACCAGTTCATTTCATCCAACACTCTTTTTTTTTTTTTTAACTGTATTTCTGTAACATTTGCTGAGTGAACAGTACATGGGTGAACCATTGTTCCAAAATGTAGCTGACACTGAAACCAAAGAGGCTCATGTTTTGGGACAGGCATTTGAAGGACACTTGCGAGAAAGCCTACAAATTCTGCTGACCACTAAACAGCTTCATTGTTTTTGGTTATTATAAATACACATATATTTTCATGATGTATATGTTTCACATATTGTACATTTATAAAGAAATATATTAATATCAAGTACTTAGGCTTACATACTAAATCAAAAGTAATAACTTATTGTCTGTATACTACAGATACAATAGAACAAATGCAACAATATATGAAAACAGGATCTCAGTATTGAGGTTTTCTTGTTTGTGTGAGTTGAGACGTGGATATGGACCGGAGGAATGACAGCAGTGTGGAGGAACTCATCGTCACCTCATATCACTTCAAACCCGTATATTGTTTCATGAAACACAAAATAAGTTACAGTGAATGCACCTAGAAAAAAAATGTGAAACGACCTCATCCTCACATGACTTGAGAAGATATCGTCAAAGACTATATATTATTACCCAAGGCAGTTCACTTGTATTGCTATGAATGGGCAAAACTGCAACAGCTCTAGTAATCTAGTAAATCTCACCGTCTAAATTAAAGAACCATTGGAATCTTCATTTCTCACATAAATCTGAGACTTGCACTTGGGACTGTGCATAAGCAGGACCAACCTTAAATATATGCTGTTTTTTACGCTATTTGAGCTTAAGAAACAGCATTGATGGGACAGTCCATGTCAGATTTGATTGCTGACTTGAAATATGTTATTTAATTGTGAGTTTGGCCATTATTTTCTAGGGTTTCAGTATTTTTCCCCCATTCACATAGATAGGAGCTGGTCTTACATTCCTTAAATACCCACCTGGAAACATTGCAAATATGGCTGAAGAGTGATCTGAATTCCCTTAAAAGGGACTTTGATATAGTCCATTCAACCATGGCCCACTTTCATGAAAGTCACCAGAATTTGTTGAATGAAATGCACTAAATATGTAATATTTGGAAAACGTAAGCCACATTTAAAAAATGTATAAAGGTTTTTGCATTATATGTGAAAATATCAAAACAAGAGGCATTTCCTTTAAAGAAACAGCACAAGCACACTTTTGTTATCGGTCTATGAATATTGTTTAAAATGAAGACAAAGTCCTTCTGGGAGTAAAACTGGGGGTAACATCTCGTATGCTATTACAATGAACTACAAAGGCAGTTATTCTGCAGTTATTCTGCTAAACCTGCGTAAACTTGAGGAGAACTGACTTCATACATATTGGTTGGAAAAGTGTCTCAGAAAAGTGAAAAGCTCTAGCATTATTTGGTTGCAGATGCCATTTTGCCAGTATCTAATGCAATGAAATTCTAACATGTTTAAGAGTGACTTGGTGTCCAAAAGCTTTACCACTCTATCCATTTGTGTTCCACAATAGAAAATCATTCATACAGGTTTTGAGCAACACAAGGGTGATTTCCATGACTATCCCTCAGCGAGACACTGGGGTACAGCTATAAGGTTCTGTCGAGTGAGATGCGGGAACATCTGGAAAAGAAATATCCCCCACACAGTGGACCAGAACAGATACAGTCCCTCAATCACTCAAAATTCACATGATCTTTCAACTCCGTGTCAATCCTTTGTTCAGACAGTCTAAGCTAGCTGTACCTTCTGCCTTCTCGCTCTCTTCCTCTCTCAAACTTCTTAGTGTTGTACGTTCCTCTAGTGAGCAGCACGCAAACGCAGGAGGAGTCGATACGGATCCACCTCCATCCTATCCTCTTGTTTTCATCCGAGGCTAGCGCACGTACGTACGATTGTTTGGTTTCGCACCTGCTCATCCAGTGTTTCTTATCCACCCCCAAGCAGCCAGCCCCCTCCACCGCCTGCACTTCACCTTTCCTATTTGGATCTGGCTTACGGCACTTTGTTTCGTAGAAATGCTGTTTGAGCGGCCCAGTCTGGGTCTGGATCTCTTGCAGAATAGTGACGGTGTTGCTCAGAAAGTCCACCGCGGTCTTCTTGTTGGTCACCCACCTGCTTTCGGCCTCACATACGGAGCGTGCGACGCCTTGTGTGCTGTGGACGGCTTGACGCTTGCGGCGGACACTTGGAATGTGGCCATCAGAATCAGAGAGGCCCAAGAGTAAGTTCCTGTAAGTTTCTTTGTCGCCTCCGTGAGCAGACGGGTTAGCATCCATCATGTGACTTTCCTCATCTTTAACGTCATCGGCCAAAAAGCCCAACTCCAGCATTAAGAGCAGAGGTGGGTGTTTGGGTGGGGAAAGGGCCGGGGAGAAAAGTACCCGTGGATGGGCATCCAGCAAAAGCAGCTGATCTTCGTCTCGTAGGCCTATGTCATCAAACCCAAAGCCTGGTTCTGTTCCAAACCACTCTTTAGCATTGGTGCTCCCAATTGTTTGAGCTTCGTCCAGATGTTCCTGCACTGGAGAGCTCTGCAGAGAGACCTTAGGACCTTCAAGAGGCCTGTCTCTCAGTTTACTTCTTGCATTCCTGTCATCTTTAAGAAAAGTCTCTGCCTCAATACTGTTTTCTTCATGAAACTGGCTACTTTCAAGCTGATAATCCTTGAGAATATCATTGCTTTGGGAACTGGCTTTTTCAGCCAGTATTTGTTGTGATTTGTATTTCCTAGGATCATGCGGCCTGGAGGCATCTGCACCGGTAGTCCTACCTCCACCTGTGTAGTCCTGCTTTGTGTTATTGACAAAACTGTCTTCTATTAGAAGATTCTCTCGGTTTGCTCTATCTTTGGCTATATGGTCCTCCTCAAACGTGCTCTGCTTATTGACTGTTCTGTGAGGAGCTATGTCATGTGTGCTGTAGTTGTTGTGAGAAACAGCATCATGGGAGTCGTTGTCCACTGATGAGTTGGTCGGCATGCTGATGTTAGCTGTCGGGACGTTGCTGCTGTTGCTGTCGTTTCTGCCAGGCTCTATCGTCGCGGCAACAAGCCTGGGCACAGGACTTTGAGGGAAAGGCAGGGCCGAGGCGATCACCATGGCAACCAGGGGAAGCCAGTGCATCACTCCCAAGACGTGTCAACTATGAATTGGTATAAAAAAAAGAAGCTAGAATTAGAAAGTGCTTAAAGCGGAAGAACTGTGGAGTTAAGAAGACATCACAAATATTTACTTTGGAATGTTTAGAATGTTAAGAAAAAATGTAGGGCAGGACTTAGTTCTTTCCAATGGTTGTTGATTGGATGGAGGCAGATCTGAATACAAGCTCGCTATTAATTGTAAGAAAGTGATGGGGTTTCTGTGGACTAAATTACTGGAAAAGTCCAGCATACGTCACCAGAGAGAAGTCTGTTGTTTCACCAGAAGATCATTTGAAACTTTGATTAAAAATTACACACACAAAAAAACAAATTAAAACGAAACATGCATTTTGAAAATAGACGGTTTCATTTTATGCTGACTTCAGATTAAGATATAACGTTACATTGCAAGATATATAATCACAACTGGGAGATCAAATTTGCAATGCATACTTTTTCCATTGTATACTTTTTTACTCTGACGTGGAAACAGGTTTTCAGAAGAACAGGCTCATTGCCAGCTCATAAAAATAAGGTAAAATAAGCCTAAAACTGTAAAACTATAGCTTTACAGCTTTGGCATATGCTAGTGGAAAAAAGATGCAAAATTCCAAGTGGCAGATTCATGTCCCTGTGTAGAGGGAGAGTGGAGCCACAAACTTGCTTCACTATCGCCTGCTCCGGTTGGTCGGCACAGACATGAAGTCACCGGATAGTTGACGTCAGGCAAAGCTCTGTTTGAAATAAAGCCACTAACAGTGTTGGTCTGGTGCTGGCCTAGTTTCACATGAGACCACAAACAACTCTGGTATGTATGGAAAAGGTTGTAAATTTCACAGATTAAGAACATGACTGAGGCAAACTAAAAGATGCCACTTTACTGTTTGAGCCAGAGAATATATAAATAAAAGAAGGTGATGTTGCTTTGGGCCTCAAATGAATGCTCATTTCATCATCTTTTATGATCTTTTTTGTCCTATATCTTTTTTCCATACGTTTGACCTGATGATCCCATATTCACACAATTCTGTAACATGACTCTCAGCAGTACTGAGAATACCTCAGAGATTTAGGTATTTATTGACAGGAACGCCAAAGTTCAGCAGTCATCTACCTAAGACAAGCACCTGGGCGGTTACTGGCCCAGTGGAGGTGATTTATGTGTTTATTTTGTGGGGGTTCCAGTAAAACTACATTGATGGATGATACACTCTCTTCCTTTTACTTTCAGCACTCAGTGAGCAAACACACTGTCAACCACCAGGTGGAAGCAAAACCACCACATCAAAAATTATAAATGTGCCTCATCACTGGCACTTGTGCAGTTTTTTTTTTTTTTGTCACATTGTACAATCAAAATAATATTTATATATGAAAGTTGTGAGGAGAGGGTTAAAAAGATTAATTCATTACAGAAACCAAAATATCATCAAACAATATATAACATATCCACTAATGTTCGTGATCAAGATTTTTCCCACCTTTTTTATAGTCTCTTATGCTCCTTGAGGTTGCATTTAAGGGATCAAAAATACAGTATTGTATTAATATTGTGAACATTTATATTGGAATGTGTTTTAAAATGTAATGTATTCCTGTGATGGCAAAGCAGCCATTACTTCAGTCTTCAGTGTCACATGATCCTTCAGAAATCATTCTAATATGCTGATTTTGTGCTCAATTTGTGTTGCTTGATAGTTTTGTGGAAACCAAGAGTCATATTTTTTTTTCAGGATTCTTTGATGAATAGAAAGAATTAAACTTGAACCATTTATTTGAAATCTTTTGTAACATTTATTTGTCTTTACCATCAATTTTGATCAATTTAATGCATCTTTGCAGAAAAAAAAATCTTGAAAAATCTTACTGACCCCAACTTTTGAACGGTAGTGTATATGGAAACAATTTATACTAAATGTATACAAAAATGAGTGCAAACTACATAAAGCATGTAAGACATGAGGTGTGATTGCTCTTAAAATTTATCAAATTTGCTTTTTAGCAAGTATTTGACAAGAAAAATGTGACCACACAGACCTAGAGTGTGTCGTCTTGCTGATGATACAGTGAGGGATGCAGTCGAACTGTCCATTGTTAAGGCCAGGTGTAAATTACTCACCAATCCTGTTGTTGCTGTGCTGAGAGATGAGGGAGACGCATTTAGAAAGAAAGAGAGTTCAAGAAAAGAAGAATGCTCAATGTCAGTGATGTGGCTTCAACCGAGAAAACTCCTCCTGGGTTTCCCCAGGCGGGACAGAATGAAGGAGGGGGCCGAGGGCGAGTAAAGCCAGTGTACGCAGAGTCAAGTGACTGTTCTTTTGAGAAGAGATAATAATTAGACTCATAGGGAGAGAGTGGGTGGACAAGAAGGTTGTGTGTGAAGTGCAAAATCACCACTTGTGATCCTCATAATAACAGCACCCCACCCCAGACACTGTTTTCTAATAACACTCAAGCCAAAACGAACACACTCATACACAATGCACAACTAAGCCTGCGGTCACAAGCAGGGAAGGAATGCCACCAAGTCCATACATATGCATGCCGGGACATGGAGCACTATATGTATAAGTGCTTACTTCCTGTTTACGTTCAACATAGGAACAGGTGTGCTATGTGCAAATGAGGCTCTATTGTCTTTTAAATGCAAATATTCTTGCTTAAAGGGGCGCACAGTAAGATGAAGGTATTTTTGCAGAGAGATTTACAGTCTTGTTCTTTCACTACCTCTAATGTTGACAGAATCATATTTTATGCATCTAAAACGCCTTCATACAGTCTCACAAACTACAAAATGCTACATACGATATAAAAACAAGAGTCACTAAATCACAGCATGTTGCTGACAGCTGAAATTAAGTTACATATATGACCATATGAAAGAATCAATATTTAGATATTATTTTACAATATTTAGATAATGTTCAATGACAAATGAGTCCAATAAAGGACAAACCTAGTTTAAATCACACAAGGCAAGATTTTAGAAATGTAATCTTCGCACTCATGTTGGTTTCAGATGGTTTCGAAATTCTTTTTCTCCATTTTCAAGAAGTTTAATTATGTAATGAAACCATCAAATAAAAAGTACTAAATTATTTTCTATACACCTCAAATATGTGATTATACACATATGAATCTATATTAAAACACATTTAAATTAGATAATGATAATTATTATCAAAATATATTTTTTTTATATATATATATTTTTGTATTCATCATAATATCAGTTTTTAGTAGTCACACTACATGGCATTTTTCAACCTGAACCAATCTTGCCTTGTCATAAAAAGCTAAAATTATGTTTTAAGATACTTACTGACCTTGAAACACATGAGTTTTTTTTTTCTTCCATAAATTAAAAAACATGCTCAACATAGAACTCTATTCAAATTATTTTATGTATGAACTGCATTTTTACTGCATAAAATTAACAGATGAACGATTGCCCCACAAAAATGACTTATTAACAGAAGTTACAAGTAAAATAAAAGCATTTTTCATGGTTGAAGGCAGTATGTGTGTGTGTGACCTGAGAGGAAGACTTGCTGGTTAATGCGTATGTTTGCTTTGGAACAGGAACACAAGCAGTAGGCAGGCAGACACACGTGCAGGAGGCATATCTGTAGACGCTGGGCGATATGCAGAACCACTTAATCAGTGCGCTCCATTTGCAGCAATGACATGCTTCACGAACTCTGCCATCCAGAGTAGCCCTGCACTTTCTCTCCTCACCTTACGCACAGCTCAAAAATGAGCCTCCAGCATCACATAAAAAACTCCAAGCTCCTGAACACAATGAACCCGCATGTTTAACCTGATCTTATACACTCAACCTCACAGGAACCTGTGCACACACACACATCCACACATATCTTTGATCTGACCCACTACTCTCACCCCCATGACAAACGTAATCTGCGATCTTCTAGACAAAAGCCAGACAAACACTTTGGCTCTCCCACCTCTCGGCTTCATACCACCAAAAGCTTTAAACCCGCTTTATAAATAATCTCTTTCTAAGATTTTTCACTGGAAATCAGCCAGGGGATCCACTACCACTTCATGCTGTCACACTAACAAGCCTGTCAAATCAATTATTGCAGATGTATGGCCTTTATTATTTATCCTCTCCAATCCGAACAAAAGCGTGACTCGTGATAGACATTCTACAATCCCCCTGTTCAGACTTGACGTGACTGACAATTTTAGAAAATCATCCCACTCACCCTATACACTCGGCCATAAGCGTCCAACGCAGCACAGTCTGAACTCCCATATCGCAAAGAATTGAAAATAAAATAAAACAAAGACACAAGTTTAAAATCAAGTTAAACAGATCATGTCATGACAAAATAGATAATCCCAGGCAGATAATAAGGAAGAGGATTCAAAATTGTTCAAAAGTAAAGGAAGATTTGTATAGTTCCCTAACCGCGTCACTTTAGTTTGTGTGGATTTATGAAGATGTCTTTATTGCAGGCTTTGCACTTAGGCTTTAATTGAAGGATGGGGCACTGCCAACTATATAATATATGTCGATATGGAAAGTTTACATTGGAGTTTTAAAGCTACAAGTGAAAAAAAACCAGCCTGATTAAGGGTCAGTCAGATGGTACACAATGGTTGTGTAAAACTAAATTATGAATTATAATTAAAACTCTTGAGTAAAAGAAAATAAAAAGCTCAAAAATATTTGACCTCTTTAATATTAGTTTAGAAAAAAAGAAAGAAAAAAAGACACCTTTCCTAAAAGACACTGCACAAATTCCCTCTGGGGGAAAAAAAAACATTTTCTTGGCAGACAATGATTATTATTCCAAGACAAACATAACTTGACCCTCCTCTTTCTCATAAAATCATTTACATAAAAAAACAGCATACTGTACAGATGTTTCTGATTAAAGGCACTGTGTTGCAGTTGAGAAATCAGTAGCTTAAACAAATCTGAAAATGGCTACCACACACTGAGTGACACATTCCACTCTTTACACTTTAGGATAATCTCAATCCACACTTTCCCACTTTCTTTCTGAGAAAGAACTTTGGTCTGCTTCAGATCCTGCCTGGATAAATGGAGGAAGAGTTCACATCTCTCATAAATACCTGTAGGTTTTTTTCTCACTTGTTCTGTCTCAATGCCCCCCCACTTTATGTGTTACAGGGGTGAGAAGATAGTTACGTAAACATTCATTATGTAGTAAACAAAGGTTGTGAGCTTCTGTTGTCGTTTCTGTTTTTATAGGCTATAGCTGGGCAGGTGACTGACAGGATGTGCATTAATGGCTGCCAGCTCCCACCCTTTAACTCCTTTACTGTGTAAACATTAGCACTGACAAACTACTACTCTCGTATAGATCTACATCCATTTGTTTTTTCAGACTTCCTCCAAAGGATAGTCCCTGTAATATTACACAATAAACCGATGTGGATTATTTAAGCTATCATTCTGAGGAACGAAACAGTAAATGCAAAAACAAAAACACACCTACTGTGTATTTTAAACAGCATGTTGGACTGACTTCAGAGACCTTCTTCCGAGTTACGCAGGCAGACAGGTAAACAAATGTCAGCATGCAAACACCTGGTCAGCACCTGAACTGACAGCTGAACGCGGACGCACTGGACAGCGAAGAGCGTCGACTGCACGCGAGTGATTCGCTAGCGGCTAGTGTTGAACAATATGAGATCAAACATATTTGGTCTTTCGCCAAAACAGTTTTCAGTCATCTCTTTCGAGGCCCGAGGGAAGCGCTTCTCACCGTCGTTTTAATTTCGAATAGAAATGAGTCCAACTCATTTTTATGAATCGGTTCTTTCGAAGAAATGGTTTCCGATAAAAAAAATAAAAAAAAACGCTGTTTAAATTACTGTACGTGATGATGGGGTCTCATATTACTTATATTATATTATTATTGCTTTAACCGGTTCAGCAAAAACTATACATGTCCAGACAAATTGCTGTTTATTGAAGTTCTTATTGCAGTTTAAATTATTTTTAATACAAATGTTTATTGTGGTTTGTCGTCCAGTTGGTTGCAGCCATGATTCAGCTCATTACATAATTTACCTATGTAATTTGCAATAAACAATACTGGACTGTATCTACATCACCTGGCTTGAAAGGATGTTTTAATAAGATGCTGTTAAAACCTGCTGTTTTGGTACGACATACCATCAAGCTCATGTATCGAAAGAGACTCGGTTCGAACGAATTATTTTGAGAACCGATTCATCAGATTCATAATAAAGACTCTACTCAAGTGAACGATTCATTTGCGTTCGGCTTATTCCAAAACTTGACAACCTGTGAACGAGTCCGATCAACACCTGCTTCACATTAAATTAACTGTTACGAAAATGAACCCAAATAAACCGAATCTGTCATTAGTCCACTTTAGATGTTATCAGCATCGGAAGCGTATGATTAGTGGACATTATACCTGTAGTAGGTTACGCTAACATTAAAAAACGTGTCTTTAAAAACACGCAGCACCTACCGTTTAGGTGAGCTTCGGGCCACACGTATCTTCGGCGAACACCACATTGATTCTACAGTCCGTCAGTCTCACGCAAAAATTAACGAAATTTCCAGAAGAACTCTCGATTCACATAGTTCAAACTTCAGAAGTCTCCCATATCATCTCTATCATCAGTCCAGTCTGAGAAGGTCCACGTCGAGTTGTATTTCCACGTTTATCTGTTTTCCTCGCGCGCGACTTTCTGGAGGATTTGCATGCAAGCGGTGAACATCCAGAGCAATAATGCACCTCTGACACTGCGTTTATGAGCGACAGCTCTACTTTTCCACAGTCAGACCACAAATCGCCGACTTTGAGCTGTAAATGAGAGACGTTTAATCTGAAATAAAAGTTTATTAAGTGAATGCAGAAATTCCCGCGGCGAGAAGGTCTGAGTGCTCAAGTCGTGCGGTAAGGTATCTTCATGAAAGGCTGTGAGGGGACAACTGCCAGTGGGAGTGAAAGAGGGCTGGTTTAGAAGAAGAGGAATGGACCGAGTGAAAGAAGACATTATGGTGGAGGGAAAAAAAGGACGAGGACCATCTGCTGGCGGTGGGTGTGAGAGTTCTCATAATAAAAACAAAACAAAAAAGAGTGCAAAATGTCTTAAATGTAGGCTAATGGATAGACTGTCTTAGGAACTGATTTATTGTCAGTTCATTGAGTTTAAGTCCAAACTAATCACCCCAAGCAAGTGCATCAATCACCTTGTGACTTTTTAGTTAATAACTGTAACGAAAATTAGCAGACAGCAGAATTTCATTTATTTCCTGTCAGTTTATGGTGGTCTGAACAGGTTGGATTTTGGGACCATGCAGCTCTAGAATTAGGGGGCAATTTGTTAAAGCAATTTCATCTGGAGATTTTTTACAGCATCTACCGCCAACCAGCCCTTAGTTTTTTATAGCAGGAGACGTATATTGACTTCTCTCGTTCTCCATCTCCCCTCCTCTTTCCTCCTTTCACCTAGCAGAAATTTCCATCCCACCAAAACCCATTTCCCCAGAAAGTTTAAAAAGATGAAAGGATAAGGAAAAGAAAGGAGACAAAAGAGAGAAGTGTTCTGTTACAACCCTGCCCCTGTGAGACTGTCCGTGAAAGAGTCCGGGGATGAGAGAGATGGGGGAGAGAATAAGAGAAAGAGAGGGGTACAGAAAAGAGGTTTTCAAATGAGGAACGGGGAACCGGTGTGGAACTTCATATTTAACACACACAAACACAGGTGAGTGCGCGCACACACACACACACACACACACACACACACAAATACAAAGCTCAGTGAGGTCTAAAATGTGGTTTGGCTGGCCCCCTCATATCTTTGCTCCTGGCCTCTCCTGACGCTGTTCCTCCCTCTTTGGCATTTAGTGTCATTCACTCCCAGCCTTTACCTCTTTAGCACTATTCTGTCTCTCTGGTTTTGTCTGAACTTGTTTTGTATGCACTTAGATATTTCAACCCCAGGGCGTATTGGTGAGATTGAAGGAGTGAGAATGAGAGAGAGCCACAGGAACAGAGAATGATTGAGAGCGAGGAGTCACTGAGGTATTGAGCGAGATGACAGGCGAACAAAGGTAGAAAGGGAAAGAAGGGACAAACTCAAACGGAGGTACAAAAGTTCTTTCACACACTCACACTCAAATGGCTTAACACACACATACACACACATGCACAGAGAGCTCTGACACCTTATCTTTAAAGGATAAAAATACATTTCTACATATCAGTTAGGCAAACGGTCTCAAGTAGTAGTGTGAACCTGCATTACTTGTTTTTGTGAAAGACCTTTTACTACCCTACACCCCAAACACCTATAGAAGGCAACTCATCAAACAAGGACCGCACTGCACGTCACTGACACTGTCATAGATGAGAGCTTCTGACGAAACTGCACGTCTTTCAGATGCCGAAAAAGCCGAAATGGATAAGAGACAATCCTTCTCACCTAATATGACCTTGAGCTTTGCAAAAGACATTCAATAAATAGATGCTTATTATCATTATAGTATCATTGATGTACTATTATAATTATTTTATATATTTTCTGTTTTAATTTTTATTTTAAAGTTTTAGTCATTTTGTTGTGTTTTTGGTTTTAATAAAAAGTTTTTTTATAAATAAAAAGGTTTTTTAATATAAAATATGTCTATAGTTTTTAATTGTTATTGTTTTAGTGTTACTTATTTTACTACATCAAATTAAACTAAATGAAAATGAGAGATGCACTGGTCGGCTGGTTACAAATCGGAACCGGTTTTTAGTTTCATTTTGGTCAATTTTCCAGAATTGCACACAAACTGCATTGCAATCATTTCCCAAAATGTAATTTGGCAGAATTTTTATGAAGTCTATAAAGAGGAGAAAATACTGTACCAAAGTCCCTTTAAGGCAAGTCATGTCACTCGGCGGCCATCTTTGAAACGCCTCTCGGGCATGCAAGTGCAGCTCCTATCTCTTTGAATGGGGAAACATCAAATTCTCCAAAACTGTTCACCAAGCTTACGATTAAATTTCATATTTGAAATCACCAATGAAATCTGACAACAACTGTCTCATAAATGTTGTTTCTTTTGCTCAAATAGCGTTAAAAAAGCTTATTTTTCAGGATAGACCAGCCAGTGCGCATGCGCAGTCCTAAGCGTGTGTCTCAGAACGCTGACTGTTTCTATAGCAACCAGGACTTCTAAAGGCAGCTGAAATGATGCATGGAATTTACCAATTAGCGATTGGCTCTTTTGCTCAGAAGGCGGGGCTTCGTTCGATAGAACGGCCATATTGAGCGTTGCATTTTTCCCCATTCAAAACTATAGGAGTGACACGTCTTGGGTATTCGATGCTCGATATAGCCTATAGGATATGAATGTATCTCTGAGAGGAACAGGCATCTTCAGAAATGTTTTGATGGCATTTTCTTTTCCTCTTACCTTCATATAATGCATATTAAAGTACAGCTGGTAACCAAGGAAACTATATATTGCTGCTCTTCCATAAGTGGCACCTGATGTCAAGATGTAAAGAACAAATGTAATATTACTTATTTATTATTTAATCATTTAAATGTTAATATTAATTAATTATTCTTTCAAACTTTGGAAAAGTTTTTTAGTAATTATTTTACTTGCAGTACATTTTTGTTTTCTTTATGTCCCTTGCTCATAGTGTGTGTCTCAGATTTATTTCCATGGCAATGGATATCCCACCTCAAACCTCAAATATCAAAGCAATTACAATCTGTTACATAGCCATTATAGCAATTATTGAAAATAGCGGAGCTGTCAAGGAAACCATGTATGCTGTTCACAGATGCTCTCCTGAAATTGAGGTTAGATTTATGGTCTCAAAGAGGTGTCATTCATTCATTCATTAAATTAATTTTTCCTCTCTGTATCCTCCTTCACGCACATCAGTTTCATCAATCTCTTTCATTACTGTACCTTGTGAACTCAACCGCTCCACCTTACATTACCCCCATTTTCTTCACCCCCAGCACCACCATTACCTCTTTCCTGGTGTTCTCTCTCTCTCTCCTGCTGTGGGCCGCAGCATATGTTTCCAATTTTGGCTGTAATGCACAGTTCGCCGCAATCTGACCTAATTAGCCCCTGTCTTGTGGATCCGCCCTCAACAGACAGGCTAGAGGTCAGAATTCAGGGGTCGTAGGTGGGAGCACGGATCGGATAAGGGGGCAGCGCCTTTGATTGATGTGTCAGGTCCCGCAGCATTATGGGCGTGTTTGTCGGTGACCACCTTAAAAGTGAGACTGCTGTCATTTCTTAAGTATTTGGGATCAGAGAGTGTTACTGAGGCCTGCAATTGGATTTCGCAGTAAGACAAAAGGGTCAAAGAGGGGACGTCAAGAATACAGGAGTCCCGTTCTTAACACAACACACAGACTAAAGTACATAATCCTTAATCTCACACACCTTGAGATGATAGGTACTAGGTATCAAATCCGTGGAATGCCTTGCTACTGGGAAAGAAGAGGGATAGACCAAGGGATTTAAGAGGAGAGACTGATTTTAGGAATGTCTTAATTATGGGAACAGAGAACCTAACTCTCTGTTTAATCCTTAATGAGAAACAGCTTCATATGGAACGGAGGGAGGCAGAAGAAATGG